AGCCGTTTGTTTTGAAAGTGGCTTAACCAGGGGTGCCCCCCACGGGTTGCTGTGGCTCACAATCAGTCCGATACACACGTCTTTAAGTCAATTGCGATTATAAATTGAAATATAAACTATCCTATCTTTCAAGTTGGATGAAACTGCACACAGTGTGCAAAATTTGATTAAAATCGGTTCAGTAGTTTAGGAGTTCATTAGGGACAAACAACGTGACACGTAATTTAAATATATTAAAACTAGTCATACTGTTTTAAGTGTATCTTAGGGTGTTCAATTTAATTATTAAGTGGTGTCAATATAATATTGTCTATTACTATTATTACGGTTGCTAACTTGACTTTTTTTTGAAAATAGAGTTCGGCCATTTTTAAAATAAACGGCTCATATATGAATTAAAAGTTTTAATGATGTAATTAAAATGAATGATATTTCTAGAAGTGTTGTCATCGGACGAAGATGAGATTGATGATACTAGTCAAGAATACCTTGAGAAATTACAAGAAAAAGTAACAATATCTTCGGTAACCCAAGGTTTTAACGTTACTGCCTCTATTCAAGATGGTAATGCAGATAATAGATCTGACGAAGATGATGACGATTCTGATTATGACGGAAATGAAGAAACAGCTCTTGAAAGTTATACTACGCCTTTAGATGCAGAAGATTCTAACCAAGACGAGTATGTTATCTTTAAAGAAGTTATGCAAAGTGAGTATTGATTTCATTTAATATTACATCAAAAAATTGATTGATGATGATTTTTATCGTTATGATATTAAACATTTGCATATCAGATAGAAAAAGGTTGTTGTTTAAATTTTGAGGTTAAAAAGATTAATATTATTTTGAGGTTAAAAAGGTTTATTATTATTTTGAGGTTAATATTATTATTGATAATTAATAATAAAAAAAAAACTTGTTTGAAAAATTTGTTTGAATTTTGAGGTTAAAAAGGTTAATACTATTATTGATTGATTAATAACAAAAATTTGTTTGAAAAATGTATTTGTTTGAATTTTGAGGTTACAAAGGTTAATATTATTTTGAGGTTAATATTATTATTGATAATTAATAAAAAAAAACTTGTTTGAAAAATTTATTTGAATTTTGAGGTTAAAAAGTGACATTACTTGACAGTCCACCTAATATATATCTAATAATTGTATAAATATTATTAATATAACTTAATTATATATTATTTTAGATATCGAGAGAACTGACACAACCTGGTATAGGGCATTAACGGGTCATTTAAATGCTGATGAACGAAAAGCATTGCAAGAAATAATTGTTTTAGCAGATCAACGTAAAGCAGCAATGGAAAGTAAAAGAATTGAACAAAGTGGTGGTAATTATATTTTTGATTTTTCTTTAAAGTTCAATAAAATAATAATAATAATAATAATATCATAAAACTTAAAAATAATATTGTAAAAAAAAATGTATTTTTGTTTTCTTTATTATTTTCTAGGATACGCTTTCCATTCTCAAACTATACCAACATCATTCAAATTTGGTGGAACACCTTTGAGTCGATAAGTATTTTTAATTATTTCTACTTGTATTGTATAAGTAAACAAATTACAAGGCATCTGAATTGAATACTAATAGTTAAATAATTAAAATGTGAATTGATTTTGAAAGAGAAGAGAAGAGAAGAAAAAAATAATTTGTGCATGTCCTATCTACTATTTTTATGTAAACCGATAGTAATTGGACAAGATTTTATTCTGATATCTCATCGATAATGCTTAATTATTAAAATAAATTTTCATTCAAATTATTGTATAACACACAATACTATACTATTGTTTCATTAGTCGAGACATTAGTAATCAATATTTTATTTGCCTAATGAGTGATGATGATGACAATGATGATGATAAAAGTGTATTATCATTTTAAATAGACATTCACAATATTCAAATAAAAATAAACAAAATATGACGAATTATTTGAAACAAATTTTGCTATTTGTCTAGTGAGCTTTTTGTACATAACTTCACATTATATATATTTATATAAATATATACATAAATAATAAATTCATTTATAAATTTTTCGAATTTAAAATTAATTTTGAAAATAATAATAATAATAATAATAATAATAATAATAATAATAATAATAATAATAATAGCTTGCTAGACACACCTTTATTATTATTTTTTTTTTTTTTTTGTATATTGTTAGTTACACGATATTTCTACAAAAAGAAAAAGAAAAAAAGAAAAAAAAGAAAAAAAAACAAACAAAAGGAAAAAATTTTTAAGTATGTATATTTGTTAAATGAAACTATGTTTAAAAAAAAAAAAAGAAAAAAAAAACACACAAACAAAGAAAAAAATTGTTGTCGTACGAATTATTGAAAGGAAAAGAAAGGGACTGTTTTTTGAATTATATATATATATATATATATATATGACCAAAATTATTGCTTATTATAAAAACGTCATTTTATAATCATATCTTTACTTTATGAAAGCTTTTATTGTACACACATACATACAAACAGACACAAACACAACTATTGCTCCGCTTGTACAGATGCTGTTCTTTAATAAAAAGAAAGTAGAAGGGTTCCAAAGCTATTAAATATGATAAACCTAACCTATTAACCAATGATTTATTTTATCATTGGTTAATATCAAGATACACAAATACATTAATTATTTATATTAATGTTTATTTTCAATTGCTTGTAAAAAGTAAACTAACAATAAATGATATATATATATATATATATATATATATCTCGTAGAAACTATTTTTAATTTTGAAAATTAAATTACAAGTCAAATCAGTGTAAATATTTAAATCAAGTAAACAAAATGATGATAGTTAAATAATAATTGAAATATTCTAAAATTTGGATCGAGTTACAGAACACATGTTGAAATAAATTCATTAATGGTACTTATCATTGCATGTAAATAAATTTCAATGTAAAAAAAAAAACAAAAAAAAAAAACAAAAGGAAAGTTCTTTCTTATGCTACATCTTTGAAAATAAAATACAAAGAAAATCTTTGATACTATTACTACTACTACTACTACTACTACAACATGTAACAAATTATTATTATTATTTATTGATTGATCATTTAAATTTATTTTATTTATGATTATTATTATTATTATTATTATTATTATTATTATTATTTATTAAAAGAATTAACATATTTGTAATTCATGTAACATTTCGTAATATAATTCAAATAATCCTTGTAGATTAACCCTTTGCACTCGAAACGATTTGTCGATTAAATTAGGTAAACACGTACTTTAAAGTCATTTATAAACAAACAAATGTATACAAATAATCAAATTTCATTAATTTATTTATTTATATATCAAAAAAAAAAAAAACAAGAAAATTTGAGAAATATATTTTGTAATTAGTTTTTGTTAAGATATTTCGTAAAACAATATCCAAGATGGATGCATCCTAGATTTATCAAGACATGTACCAGAATAATATGTTATTTCTGGTCTACCTGCAGGTGTATTTACAATCAGAGTAAACCTTACAGACCCTTTTCGATCCTTTAAGTATTATCTTTAAGTAAATCTTAAAAGAAATATCGTATAACATATAATAAGCAGATTTGAAATCAGTCGGGCGCCGTATCGGCGCCTTTCGACTTCCCACTCCAAATCTACCGGACGTTCATTCGGTGTTTGAGAGCAAAGGGTTAATATTATAGTTTTATTCTTTGCACACACACACACACACACATGCAATTGTTTAATGAAAAAAAAAAGAAGATACACTGTGACATAATTTTTTTATATTTTTGTTAATTAAAATAAGCTTTTGTAAAGTAAATTAATAGCAGCAAGCATAAAATTGCATATTTTAAACTCGATTAAATGATAACAACACTTATTTAATATTAAAAATAAAAATAAAAATATATAAATAAATAAATAAATAAATAAATAACAGTAGAGTCGACAATTTAAAATGAACATGATTTATAGAAATAATTCTCTAATTAATTAAACAAAATACAAATACAACAAATCAGATTTATATAAATAAATTTCTACAACAATCCTTGAACACCTTCTTGTACCCTTTTTTCTAACTACAAAAAAAAAACAACAACAACAACAAAATAACATTGAAATTTAAGACGTAACGTTTAAATATAAATTTGATTTATAAAAAAAAAAAAAAAAAAAATATAAATAAATAAATTAATTAATAAATAAATAAATACATGTAAACAGAGAGAAAAAAGAAATACACTTGTAACATCAAAATAGAAGAATGAAGAGATTATTGATAAATTTAAAACAAAATTGAGAAAAAAAACACAAAAATTTATATATAAATTGAATTAATTTCTTGTCCGTATAATAATAAATGAATTATTCATTGTTAATTAATAGTTAAATCGTTTTTAATATATATATATTATACCAAATCTCTTAAATAGAACGATTGGGTGAGAGAGAGAGAGAGAGAGAGAGAGAGAAAGAAAGAAAAAAAGAGATTATTGTTCATCGTATTAAATTGGTTTTTTATAATTGCAATTAAAATGATAAATTAATTAATTTTTCTTTTTTTTTCGTATATAACTATCAAATAAATTTACTATATTTACTTTGAAATAATAATTTATTTTGATCGTATTAAAAATATATAAGTATTTATTATATTATTATTGAAAAGATAAATGAAAATTTGTTTATATTACAATTGTAACCCTTTGCACTCCTCTGTCGTAGGACGCCCGCCATTTTGTCAGTTTCAGCTATCAAATGAAAAACTATATATTTATATAATATTTATATTTATATTTATATTTATATTTATTATATTATATTATATAATATAATATAATATAATTATAAATATAAATTTTATTTAAATACAAAAATAATTATAAATAATATCAACAATATGTAATACAATATTATATATAAATATCATTGTATAAAATTGTTATTTATACAAAATATATTAATATCAAATTTTATTTTCTTTTATCACTCTAACTAAAATAACAATAAATTAAAGAAATGAATTAATAATAACATTATAAGATCTTTTTTTTTTTTTTTTTTTTTTTATTATTAGTAAAACAAAAGTTTATTTTTCAGATGCATCAATGAAAAAAACATTCAGAGTGCAAAGGGTTAAATGTCTCTTTTCTTATTTCACTCTATAATATATGTCATGAGGGCTTACTTACAAAATTTATTATAATCGTAATAATATTTGTTAAAAATTGTTTTTTAATTAATTAATTAATTTTTTCTTTTTTTTTTTTTCTTTTACTCACGTCTAGACAAATATTTTCATTTTTGTTCAAAATTTTTGTGATATCTTGAAAAATTCATTTGCAAGACACATTTTGAGAAATTCTTTGTTCTGTGTTTTTTAAAAAATTGTTTTTTTGATACATAATAAGTATATTAAACTTAAAGGAACCTTTTATATATATATATTATATATTGCACATATCTTTTTTTAATATTGTTTTTTTTTTTTATATTTCAAGTAACAATTATTCCTGATTGAAATGAAATCAATGTAATTATTAAGTATTTCTATAATATTACCACACTCTAACAAATGTTAATAACAATATTAATAAACATTTGACGAATGGTTTTTTTTTTTTTAATTTTCATTGAAGGAAAGTATTCAAAAGTTATAAGTGCCTCGAAACTATAATAATTATACGTGAAATCTTAATTTCAAAAGATATATGAGACGTTTGTTCATATATTGCAAAGAATATAACAAGTCAAACTAAACAAAAACAATATAAACATAAAAAATAATAATAAAGAAAACAAAAAGAATGCTAAGTTATTTTTTAGTTAATAAGTTTTTACCACCATATTGTAATTACTAATATTAACAAATTATTAATAATCAATAGGAGGAGAAAGAAAGAGAGAGAGAGAGAGAGAGAGAGAGAGAGATGAATAATCTTTTATAAAAAAAAAAAAAAAATCGTTCCATTTTTATTAATATTAATTTGTAGTTTTTAAATTAATGCTCAATGACATATATATATATATATAAATTGTATTAGAAATATATGTAACCAGTAAAAAGACACACGAATTTTTGAAATATTATTGTAAGTAAAGGTAAGAAAAAAAACAAAAGAAATACATCATCCAATTCTAAATTTAACTAGGGGTGCCCTGCCACACGTTTCTGTGGCTCACAATCAGTCCGATACACACGTCTTTAAATCAATTGCGATTATAAATTTAGATATAAACTATCCTATCTTTCAAGTTGGATGAAACTGCACACAGTGTGCAAAATTTGATTAAAATCGGTTTAGTAGTTTAGGAGTTCATTGCGGACAAACAACGTGACACGTAATTTTTATATATATATATATATGAGATAATGCATACGTAATTATTATTATCATTTTTATCAATTTAATCATTCTCTTGATCTTCTCTATTAAAGAAATACTTCAATGTTTTTGTTAATATTATCTTACAAGGTCATCGCATTATTCACTTATCATTAAAATTAGAATTTTAAATGACTCTTTCGTTTTTTTATTTTCGCAATTAAAGTAAATTATAATTAGTCAATTTCTAAATAAATTTGTTCATTTTTTTATTATCATTATTATTATTATTTTATAATTACAAATAAAAAAAAAATCGTTTATTTTTTTTTTTTTTTTTTTTTTTT